AATTGTCACAGAATGGAGTCCTTTAACCACAATACAGAAAGTTGTCACAATTGAGTCAAGGGAGCCAACACATCAGTGACGACCTTGCATTGTCGTCACAATTCGATTCCCGCCAAGAGTCATGGAGAGAGCGGGAACTGCAACCATGACAACTTTCTAAAAGTTGTTAGTATTAATAGAACTTTCTTTGACAACTTTGCAATTGTTGCCACTGATAACATTGTATAGCCGTTAGTGACAACCTAGTCTTGTCACTATTTGATTTAAAATATTTATTGCTTTTTGCAACTATTACTCCTAATTTTTTGTAATCATTATGTGTTCTCTAATGGTTTTTAACTGTTATATACTTATGAGCCTCCTTATTAGTTTAATTTTCTTGTATATGTAATAATTTCATTAGAATAAAAATAATTAAAAAATAAAAAATTCATTAGTGTAAATAAACTTATGACTACTTAACTTAGAATGATTATTAGTTAATTTGATATGAATGTAAATAAGAGTTTTCAAATTGAACTAGCTATCGAAGTGGATAAATCCTAAACTCCATACTTAATTAACTAATACACTTTATGTATTAGTTTAATTGTGCATTTTTTTTCTTATTTGAAGATAATGGATTAATAGTGAAGTTTTATATTGGATGTTAATTGAATGTGCGCTATTTAAAATGTACTTTGTTAATTGAATATGCTCTATTTAAAATTTCTACCAATTACAATTTTGACACAGTATGGTTAATAATTTTTAAGACAGTATGGTTAACAAGAAATGGTTAATAATACATTAGTAAATTATTTTCAAAAAATTTAATATGTTAGTAAATTCAAATAAAAGTTAAAGTTACAAAATTGATTGAATTAACTAGACCGAAATTTTGTGACGGCAAAATAGTAAAAAAGTTGGCGGGGACTCTTTTGTTGAAATTTGGGAGAAAGAAACACTCTTTAACTCATAGTACTCTCTAGAGAGAAACAAGTCACCGTTCCTTTTCCCAAACTCCCCACTCTGACTCTTCACTTTTCTATCTCACATCCCTCAAAGAAGAGAAAACACTCTTCATTTTCCATAAACTCTCGGCCAAATATGGATTCCCCAAGCTGAAATTGATTCATTCTCCCCTAACTCTAAGGTAAGTCCTCTCATATCTCTCCTTGTTTTTCTTATTTTTCCCCCAAGTACGTTGCCCTAATTTTTTTTCTTTTAGATTGTTTGAGTTGTGGGTTCAATAATCTCATAGAAAGATTTAAGTTATGGGTGCAATAATCTCCTTCTCCGTTGCATTAGTTCTTCCATGTATTAGAGCTTCCATGTAACAGCCCCACTTTCCCCTAAGGCGAACCAAAGGGGTTAGCGGACTGCCTGCCCAGCTCTCGCCAGGACTACGGAGCAGTTACACGCGTTCTAATACGTTTCGGGAATGCAAAAGTGCGCTCGGACAGGTCACAAGTATCAAAATAACAAAATAAAAAAAAAACGAAAAAATTGAATAGTAACCTGGACAGCAGAATCCGGCCGGAATCTGGCCGGATTAGCGGCCGGATTCTTGGCCGGATACTGTCCAGTGAGCAACTTCACGGATTCAAAATTTTCCAAGCAATCCGGCCGACAATCCGGCCAGTTTCTGGCCGGATTCCTGGCCGGATTCAGTCCAGTGCCTTTCCGTCAAAATTTTTTTCTTTTGCCGTTTGAAAGCCGAAACGTTCAGAAGTTCATCCAAACATCAACTTAACATATATACATGGAAATCCAACATTGTCAAGCCAAAATGGCATACCAAGAGATCCATTTAGTTCATTCACATACAATAGCCATTTACACACCAAACATTGGTGAAACAAAACACATAGGGTTTCACCCTCAAGGAGCTATTCAAAATACATGTACATGAGCTCAACTTGTCATTCAACTATTACAACCTTTTCCAAAAGTATTCATTTTCCTGTAAGGAAAACAAATGGAACGGAGTGAGCTAAAGCTCAGTGAGCAACTATCACAATAGCAGTTAAGATCACATAAGCATAACCATTCAATTCAAGTATGCAATTTCGAAGTAAGCAATTCAGTGAAAGGATACGGTCGGCTCTCAAGAGCCCATTTCCACGCTTACATTCTTGATCCACACTCATTGACCCTCCGTCAATGTTAAAAGTACCAAACCGTAGACCTCACTTCACTTCCATTCCTTCCACCCAACATACCCCAACCGGGCCCGCACTCCATTCAGTCATTTTGGTAATACTCGAGTATACCGGAACCAAAGGTCTCATTACCACAAGGTTCCTCAGTACAGTCCCCGTGGCATGACAATTTTCACGACCAAGCCCTCGCCGGCTCGATCCAATTGACTACCAAACGGGGTTGAACTCAGTAATACAGTGAAGCCATTGGACATTCGCCCAAATGACACCAAATTAGTTTCCAAGAATGGAATTCAGTATCCAGTATATCAAGTTCAGTAATACGGTAAAACGGTAGCCAATCAGTGATACTATCAAAAGGGGTGAGGGCGGTCAAGTACACCCTCACCTTAATCAATTCCAATATCCAAGTAAGCCTTCAAGGCATCACATATACATTTAGCAAAGCCACATAGTAACAATTAAGTGAGTAGTATACTCACCAAGTGAGAAAATGATGTTTCATGCACCGTCGTTAAACGAACGTCGTGCACCACCGTTTCCTCCTAGAACAAGTGAACAATTACCATAAGACTCGATAACGAGTCACAAAGCCAAGCCAATTATAACCCAATAGGGTTTCATATGCATGAACAAGCATAATAGCAAACCAGAAAATCAAGCATTGGAACTCATTCGTCCCAACGACAAAAACAGTTTTTGGCCTCCAAAAGCGGTAATGGCACAACTCTCACTACAATTATCGGATGGGGGTGTAAGACCCACCATTTCGAAGCCAACAAACAGAACTACAACAATGTAGAAGGTCACTCAATCCAGTTCCCAACACAACTAGGTCAAATATACGAAATACTATACCAAAATTCCCAAAACAGGTTTGCAAAACGCAGAAAACTGTAATCGGTATATCTCAGTCCATACAAGTCCAAATGCCGAAATTCCAAAGGCCTATGTTAGCTAAGTCATCCAGCTACATTTCATCAGAAGACACCAACTCCAAAATCCAAACCAATTCCAGTCAAAATAGCCAATTACTATCGCAGTTTTCGCATTCTGTCCAAAGCAGAACAGCTACAGTAATTTCGTCATAACTCACTCCACACTAATCCAAATACCCTGAAATTTTACAGGCATCTCCATCACATCAATACCTACAACTTTCATGTTTTGAGCAAAGTCAAATTCGGCCTCTAACCCTATGATCAAAAACCGGACAGAATTGGGAAATTAAGAACCCTAACTTTTCAGTTTCACACCAAATCCAAAATTGATTGCATTTAACCACATTTCACATCCACTAGAGCCATTATAGTCCATTGCCAATCATCACAAACACCCACACCATCATAATCCAATTAAACCAGAAAAATCATCATAAAATGGAAAACTTCACCAAATCAATTCCAACCAAGATAAAAACCAGAAATTTCAGCACTCTTATCACTAGTAAGTACAACATAAGCATCATTAGGTGTAGTAGGGTGTTTCAAGCTTCACTTACCAAGAAACAAGAGAGAGGAGGATGGTGAACACCTTAATCCTTCAAACAAAGTTCACCAACACACTTACTATCACAAGGAGCAAAGTTTTTATGGAGTAGAACTAACTTAAGCACTTGATTTGGAGGATTTTGGATCAATTGGAAGCTTGAGAGTTGAGGAATTTTCTTCTTCTTTGAGAGAGAGAGGGCCGGCCAAAGAGAAAGAAAAATGAGGAAATTTTATGAATTTTTGAGATATTTAAACCTTGGGTCAAGAAAGTCAAAAATTTGTCAAAAGGTGAATAGTGTTTCTTAAGTCATAACCAATGAGAAAGTGACATGTGGCATCTCATTAAATGCCTTCCTATCTTTCTTTTCTCTCTCACATCAATCACTTCACACACACTACTTATCTCTTAACACCCGATAAATTTTTCACAGTATCCGAAACTTAACCGTATTGGCCGAATTTTCCCGAACTTTTCGCACTAGTGGGTCCCACGTCCAATATGTATTCTTAATTTTCTAAAAACTCTCCAATACTAGAAAATTCATCTAAAAACTATAACTGCTCATAAAATCCACCAAGAAAATATTCCTAGGCCAGAAAATGCAGAAAACATGAAATTTAAGGGGGGGGAAAAACCCTAGGAAACTATTAGGGCAATACGGGTTCTCACATTCCATCCTCAATTCTCCGGATTACCGAAAAGCCCATAGACAATAAGAACTTAAAAAAATACAGGAATGGGATTAATTGTCATGGAGCAGAAGTTAGCTAAGAACAAGCTGAAAGCGTGAATCTAAGTATCGCGCCTTTATTAAGTAGCTTAAAACAAACTGAAGACGTGAAATCCGATATCACATTTTAGTAAGAAAGAAGACGTGAAGGATAAAGAAGCAGAGAATCGAAGGCGCGGAATCAGAAAACACGTCTTGCTGGAAATCAGCTCAATCAACGTGAGTTCAACAAGCAAGTGGTTCTGCAACAGATTCCGTTAACCACTCACATGGCCAAGTTGGATCAGAAAACGCCAAGAAAGTTAGTTGTTAGCTAGCTATATATAGATAGAATCAGAAGTAGAAATCAGGATTGAGTTAGTCATTATTGGGAACCATTCCCTAACATTCTTTCCGTCTGTTTTCCTTCATTCTTGTCATTTCCTTTTCTTTTTCCATCAACTCTGTAATCTCAGATTCAGATCATATCAATACTATTTCGATTGGATACTTATCAGATTTTTATTAATTTTTCCTGTTATCAATCTTAAGTCCAGTACCATTATTTCAATCAATTCCATTGGAAGCAACTCTATTGCATAGTTTCTGTTCGATACCATCACAGTGGTATCAGAGCGCAGCTACGAGCCAACGGGATGACTAAAACTCAGGAGGAAACGCTGAGAAGGGAGCTCACTGAGTTGGGGAGTGTGGTGAGGACTTTTGCCAATAAAAATGATGGGATAGAACAGTCTGTGAGGGCAATGGAGTATAGGCAGGAGAGCACAGATAAAGCCATGAAAAATTTAGATAAAAAATATGAGGGAATGATGAACATGATGGCACAGATTATGTCCAAATTGAATGATAAGGGAAAGGGAGTAGGAGAAGGTAGCTCCGGAAATGGCCAGATAGCAGAGGGAGTTAAGGAGAAAAATGAAAGAAATGAGGGAAGGGGGGGAGCCAAACTACCTAGGATGGATTTTCCTTTGTTTGATGGAACCAATCCCAGGGAATGGGTTAGGAGAGCTAACAAGTATTTTCAGATATATGGAGTTGAAGAGGAAATGAAGACTGATATTGCTCAACTCTACCTCAAGGACAGAGCAGACATCTGGTTCCATGGAATGTACTCTGAAAGAGGAGCAGTTCCATGGAGAGAATTGGCCTTGGCAATTTGTGAAAGATTTGGAGAGGGAGACCCCACAGGAGGCCATCGAGGAGTTCAACAAACTGGTAGTATAGCAGACTACCTGAAAAAATTTGAAACGCTAAAATCACTGGTAATGACCTCACTCCCTGGACAACCTGATTCCTATTACAAATCTTGCTTCCTTAGTGGCCTGAAGGATGAAATTGTCAGTATGGTTAGAATGACCAAACCTCTTACATTAGCAGATGCTATTGAGACTGCTAAGTTGCAGGAAAAGAATCTAGAAGCCATTAAGAAAGCACAGGGTAGGGGTATACAGAAACCTTCAACACCACCACCATTACACACCACTTTTCCACCAAGCAGACTGAAATGGCCTAATCACCAGAAACCAGACCACCATGCCAACAAAAATACCAAGCTAGGGGGACCATCAACCGCCCACTATAAGGGAATCACCCCCTCTGAATTTAGCTACAGAAGGGAAAAGGGGTTGTGTTTCAAGTGTGCTGAACCATACACTCTAGGACATACTTGCAAACAAGCTCATATTCACTACATAGTAGTGGATGAGCCTACTGAATCTGACACACCATTGGAGGAACAAGGGGAGAGTGCTGAAGAGTATAGTGACTGTCCTGAGGGAGGCATCAGCAAAGAGAGCATAGAGGTCTCCATTCATGCCTTAGCAGGGGGAAATAAGCACAAAACTATCAAAATGAGGGGAAGGCTTGCAGGAAGGGAACTGCTAATACTCATTGATAGTGGCAGTACTCACTGCTTCATGGATGAAAAATTGGCACAAGATTTAAAGCTCCAGACCACTGGTACCACCTTTACAGTAAATGTGGCTAATGGGGAGAAGCTGGGATCCAGACAGCTCCAACAGGAGATATTTTGGGAGATGCAAGGGCATAAATTCCATCACCAATTCAACACACTCAAACTAGGCAGCTGTGACCTGATACTTGGGGTTGACTGGTTGGCCAAACACAGTCCCATCGAATTTGATTTTCAGCAACTAACTATGAAATTCTTGAAGGGAAAGGAATCAGTGATGCTGAAAGGGGAAGTAGAGAAACTAAAGCTGAAAGCTATCAAGGGAAGCAAACTTGCCAAATGGAGAAGGAAGCAAACCTATGGAATCACTGCTCAAATCTATCTGGTGGAAGAAGGTAGAGGGAACCAGGAGCAAATTCCAACAGCAATGGGAGAACTATTAAAGCAGTTTGAGACTGTGTTTTCAGAACCACATGGCATGCCCCCAATCAGGAGCCATGATCATACCATTCCACTAAAAGAAGAAGTAGCACCATTCCAAAATAGGCCATACAGATGTCCTTATGTATAGAAAGCTGAGATAGAAAGATTGGTCAAGGAAATGTTGCAGATGGGAATCATCCAGATTAGCAACAGCTCTTTTGCATCCCCAGTTCTACTGGTGAAGAAGAAGGATGGTAGCTGGAGATTTTGTGTTGACTACAGACAGCTCAACAAGCTGACAATCACAGACAAATTTCCAATGCCACTGATAGATGAACTGATGGATGAATTACAGGGCTCCAAATTCTTCACCAAGATAGACTTAAGGTCTGGCTACCATCAAATAAGAGTCAAGGTGGAGGACAGGTACAAAACAGCATTCAGAACTCACCAAGGGTTGTATGAGTTCAAGGTCATGCCATTTGGCCTGACCAATGCCCTTGCCACGTTTCAGAGTCTCATGAGCCACATCTTCAGGGATCAGCTCAGACAGTATGTTCTAGTCTTCATCCTAGTCTACAGCCTCACCTGGAGTAGTCATATGGAGCATATTGCCACAGTGCTGAACATCTTGAGAGAACATCAGCTCTATGCTAAAAAGAGCAAATGTTCATTTGCTCAAATAGAGGTGGAATACTTAGGCCACATTATCTCTGATCAAGGAGTAATGGCTGACCCCAAGAAGGTAGAAGACATGCTGGGATGGCCAAAACCAACTACAGTTAAGCAAGTAAAAGGATTTTTGGGATTAACAGGATACTATAGGAAGTTTGTGAAGGGTTATGGGACCATAGCCAAGCCACTCACTATGCTGCTTAAAAAAGATGGGTTCCTATGGAATGCAGAAGCTGATGAAGCATTTCAAAGACTTAAACTAGCAATGAGCAACACCCCTGTGCTGGCATTGCCTGACTTGACCAAACTATTCGTGATTGAGACTGATGCCTGCTATGGAGGAGTGGGAGCTGTACTGATGCAGGACAAGAGGCCCTTGGCATATCTAAGCCAGAGCCTAGGACCTAGGAACCTGGGGCTCTCCATTTATGAAAAAGAGCTATTAGCTCTGGTGATGGCAGTGGTTAAATGGAGGCATTACCTGGAGGGACACCACTTCATAATAAGGACTGATCATCAAAGCCTCAAGAATCTACTTAATCAGAGGGTCACTACTACCCTTCAACAGAAATGGCTCACAAAGTTACTAGGATTAAGTTATGAGATACAATATAAAAAGGGAAGAGAGAATGTGGTTGTTGATGCCTTGTCTAGGAGAGCTAGCAGTGAAGAAGGGGACTGTGCTGCATTAGTTTGTGTCATTCCAGAATGGATACAAGAGGTAATTGACAGTTATAAAGGGGATGCACAAACCCAGGATCTCATCAGGCAACTACTTCTAGCTCCTGACAGCCAACCAGATTTTACTTATCAAGATGGTGTGGTCAGATATAAGGGAAGGATTCTGGTGGGCTCAGAAGGGAATGTAAGGAGGAAGATCATTGCTGCAATACATGATTCACAGCTTGGAGGTCATTCTGGAATCCAGGCTAGTTACTTAAAGGCCAAGCAATTATTCCATTGGACAGGGATGCACAGGGATATCAAGGATACAATTTTGCAATGTGACACGTGTAGGAAATGTAAGGATGAGCACACTGCTTATCCGGGCCTTTTGCAACCTCTCCCTATACCACAGTATTCATGGAGTCATGTCACAATGGATTTTATTGAAGGACTGCCAATGTCTGAGAGAAAGGACACTATCATGGTAGTGGTGGATAGATTCACTAAATCAGCACATTTCATCAGTCTCTCACACCCTTTTGATGCACCAGCAGTAGCTAGACTTTTTCTAGATCACATCTGTAAGTTACATAGGGTCCCTTTAAGCATGCTGTCTGACAGAGACAAAGTGTTCACTAGTCAATTCTGGACTGAATTATTCACCTTGATGGGTACAGAACTGAAGTTAAGTACTACCTACCACCCCCAAACAGATGGCCAATCTGAAAGGGTGAATCAAGTGCTGGAAATGTACTTAAGGTGTATGACACACTTGGAGCCAAAGAGGTGGAGTGCATGGCTTTCCTTTGCTGAGTGGTGGTATAACACTACCTATCACACAGCTATCCAGATGAGTCCATTCGAGGCTCTATATGGAATGGCCCCCCCACAGTTGGCACTAGGACCCTACTCTCACTCTAGAGTAGCCACAGTAGAAGATCATTTGAAGGAACGACAGAGGATGAATGAAATTCTCAAAAGAAACTTGCAGGAAGCTCAGGATAGAATGAAGTTTTATGCTGATCAAAACAGAAGTGAAAGGTCATTCATTGTGGGAGACTGGGTTTACTTAAGGTTGCATCCATATCGACAAATGTCAGTGGAACTAAGAAACAACACCAAGCTGTCTGCTAAATCCTTTGGTCCTTACCAGGTGATCCAGAAGATAGGAGAAGTAGCTTATAAACTTAAGCTGCCTGAAGGGTCCAAAATCCACCCTGTGTTCCATGTGTCGTTATTGAAAAAAAAGATTGGGGAGAAGGCAACTCCTGTTCTCCAGCTACCAAACCTGGATGAAAAGGGACATTTGAAGGTGGCTCCAACAGCCATTCTGGATCGCAGGAGCATCAGAAAGAGGAATGCAGCAGCAGTACAGTGGCTCATCCACTGGTGGGGAACCACTCCTGCTGAAGCTAGCTGGGAGGATGCAGAGAAAATCAGGAAGGAGTTCCCTGAATTTTAATCTTGAGGACAAGATTGATTGAAGGAGGAGCAATTGTCATGGAGCAGAAGTTAGCTAAGAAGAAGCTGAAAGCGTGAATCTAAGTATCACGCCTTTATTAAGTAGCTTAAAACAAACTGAAGACGTGAAATCCGATATCACGTTTTAGTAAGAAAGAAGACGTGAAGGACAAAGAAGCAGAGAATCGAAGGCGCGGAATCAGAAAACACGCCTTGCTGGAAATCAGCTCAATCAACGTGAGCTCAACAAGGAAGTGGTTTTGCAACAGATTCCGTTAACCACTCACATGGCCAAGTTGGATCAGAAAACGCCAAGGAAGTTAGTTGTTAGCTAGCTATATATAGATAGAATCAGAAGTAGAAATCAGGATTGAGTTAGTCATTATTGGGAACCATTCCCTAACATTCTTTCCGTCTGTTTTCCTTCATTCTTGTCATTTCCTTTTTTTTCTCCACCAACTCTGTAATCTCAGATTCAGATCATATCAATACTATTTCGATTGGATACTTATCAGATTTTTATTAATTTTTCCTGTTATCAATCTTAAGCCCAGTACCATTATTTCAATCAATTCCATTGGAAGCAACTCTATTGCATAGTTTCTGTTCGATACCATCACATTAATTAGGACTGTTTTTCATTCATGGTAGGTATGGTTTTTGGGGATATTTAGCCCAAAACTACAGCATCCCCAATGTTCTAAAGCTCCGGAATACTAGTTTGGTAATTATCAACCACATTGAAGAAAATTACCGTAAGCCCAAGAATCGACACATTGGTGAGTAGTTGGCCAGCATTTCTGGCATTATATTTAGTCCACCAGGTGTTTGATTTGAGTTTGTTTTTTGTTTAAGGGATACCTTTTGGGAGGATTTTTTTGATATAGAGAGAAAGGTGTTTTGCAGGTCTGGGGTTTATAAAATTTAGTGGAAGGATTACGAATTTAGTTATAGATGTTGGAAGAGGGAAATAAGAGAATTTTAAAGAATAAGACACTTCAAATTTTGCAAGTAGAAATGTCCCCAGAGATGGTCAAATGTTTTGTTCAAGTATTCTGCAATCTGTCCAGCATCTTGTATGGTCTATTTTGTCTCATTTAATCCTGTTACTATCTTACTGTTGTATTTTTTGCTTGTTAAAAAGTCATCTTTGGAGCATAGATTACTTTTGATTAGCTAAAATGATCTCTGGAACATAGTCATCCCTGGTTGTTAAAAATCATTTACCACTAATTCGCTAAAACACAGATTATGCTTGACTATGCTTGATTGTAACGACTATGCTTGACTATCCTTTAACTTTTGAGCAATAATGTTCTATTTAAATTCATAGTTTCAGGCCTTATTAGATCCATCTACATATGTACAATTTGATGTGAATTAGACTCCAAAACCTTAAATTGTTTGTACTATGATTTGTATTTCTTTTTTGCTATGCTTGAAGCTGCTGACATGGGTTCGGTGTCTCGGTAGGACGTTGTCATTTAGTTGCTTATACTGATTATGTCTTTGTATACATGGCTAGAATATATGGGTTCATGCTACATCAGCTAGTCAAAAAATTGCTGCAACATTATCAAGGGATGGATTGGCATCTCCTACATCTGTTGAGATGCAAACATATGAGCCTCCCACTGCAGCAGGTTGTATCTAACCAGTCCGTTGGTGGAAATAATACACCTAATGAGAACAAGGGTCTTCATGACAATGGAAATGATTTGTAAGATCTACTTGTAACTGCATTACAACTTAATATATCTCATGTTATGTTTTATTATTTATATTAATAATCTTCTAAATATGTTTTGGTTAGACCATGTGAACTTAAGTAGGAAGAGAGATCATACTCATAACATTGCATTGTTTAAGGAAAAAAAGGTTGGAAAGAAAGTAAAAGTTAACGTCTCAGAATTGAGTGGAAGAATAATTGGAGAAGGTGCTCGAAAGTTTATCTCAGAGAAACAATGCTGAAACTCACTAATGTAAGTTAACTTCATAGGAGAGACACAATTTTCCACTTGACTTATCAAGTTGTATCATTTTTACTGATTTTGGTATGATCGAACTTCATATTTCAGAATAGTTTCACTCATGATGAACGTCAACATATTAAGTCAGCATTCCTTAAGCAACTAAATTCACAATACCGAAGTCGGCATTATACATTTGATAAGATCTTCGAACAATCTGGGACAATGGAGGAAGCACTAGCAGATCATCTTGCATATGTGGTAGAAAATGATTGGAATTTCCGTTGTAACTACTTTTGCGGTCCTGAATTTAAGGTAAATGGCCTGATTGTTTTTCAATTACTGTTTCTTAGTACTATACATGCTATATTTTGTT